CATACTCCATGTTATGCATCAGCAACATTGCTAGGTCAAGTTCATCTCTTGCAACGATGGCGTCGAAATTGAAACGGGCTGCAGTAAGTGGTGAGTGCTCAACGTGAACAGTCTCACCGCGTGAAAATCTGTGGTGTTGATTTTTCCTTCTTCTCAGATCCATGTTCGAGACGACTTGGTCCGCGAGGCGGTCAATCCATCTCTGCGGAATTCTCGCCAATTGTGTAAGACTCCGAGTTTCCTACCAGATGAGGTTGCCTTCACTTCAGCATGGGTTCCTGAGCTCGATGTTTTGCCTATCGAGTACTTCGTGTCGAACGACGAGCGACGCCCTCCTGAGCAGCTCCTCCACGTTAGAAAGATTGATATTCCAAACGGCCCTAGCCTCAGGCTGAAGTACTCCGTCGGGCGATCGATGGATTGAGTGACTGTAAGGGTAGTCGGTATTGTCGAGGATTTCATCTACGACGACATATGACGCCTCTTGATCGAGTCTGAATTTCAGGCAGTCTTTGACGTGGAGTTCCTTTGCTGGGCCGCGTGGGGATCACACCGGCCGAGGGCTGTGGGATGCGTCAATCATACTCTCCCGCTATATGTGGCGAACCAATTATCTCAACCATGCCAAGGTGAGCGAACTTCTGGGTATGTCTTCCCACGCTTTGCGAAATGCACAACTAGGCATTCTGACTGCAATCCATATTTGGCGTGGGTACACACCTGATTTGATATTCTCTGCTGATGATGACCATACATTAGGCCGAATCGCTAGCAGTAGCCTACTAAAGGCCTCTAGCCATGGCGATTACAACTCGAGGTTAACACTGAAGCAGATGCAATGCTTAGGGCAGAAACTCTATATAGGGTCGCTGGGTTATCCGGGATAAAATTCATCTCGTGACCTCTCCAATGAACAATCGTGCACGGGATAGCTCTGCCATCTCGCATTGCAATACCAATATGTTCATATACATGTATCAAATTGTACATCTTGTCATGATGAGGCCATTGAGAAGTAGATGAGCCGAATAATAGCTTTTAGGGGCGGCCCATTCTAGACTTGGGATGCGGTACTGGTCTCCTCACACTGACTGCAGCGAAGTGTGCATGCAACGAGGTTATG